CCATTTTTTGCTAAATTGATACGAAATGCTTACTACTTATTAATGAAACCATCTACTATTCAGAGATTAAAGCCGTTTTGAAATACCACTTTTGGTTTTTGACATATAAATTATTGAAGTTAATGAGAAATTTTTACCTTCTTTTTTGCTTAACTTAATAAATTCTTGTAAAATCGATTTTTTGCTAAATTGCTACGAAATGCTCACTACTTATTAATGAAACCATCTACTATTCAAGGAATAAAGCCGTTTTGAAATATCACTTTTGGTTTTTGAGATATAAATTATTGAAGTTAATGAGCAATTTTTACCTATTTTTCGCTTAACTTAATAAATTCTTGAAAAATCGATTTTTTGCTAAAGTGCTACAAACTGCTCACTACTTATTAATGAAACCATCTACTATTCAGGGAATAAAGCCGTTTTGAAATATTACTTTTGGTTTTTGAGATATAAATTATTGAAGTTAATGAGAAATTTTTACCTTTTTTTTGCTTAATTTTATAAATTCCTGAAAAATTGATTTATTGCTAAATTGCTACGAAATGCTCACTACTTATTAATGAAACCATCTACTATTCAGGGAATAAGACGGTTTCGTAATATCACTTTTGGTTCTTGAGATATAAAATGTTGAAGGTAATGAGCAATTTTTACTTCTTTTTTTGATTAACTTTATACATTCTTGAAAAATTGTTTTTTTGGTAAATTGTTACGAAATGCTTACTACTTAGTAATGAAGTCATTTACTATTCAGGGAATAAAGCCGTTTCATAATATCACTTTTGGTTTTTGAGATATAAATTATTGAAGTTAACGAGAAATTTTTACCTTTTCTTTGCTTAACTTCATAAATTCTTGAAAAATCGATTTTTTGCTAAATTGCTACGAAATGCTCACTACTTATTAATGAAACCATCTACTATTCAGGGAATAAAGCCGTTTCATAATATCGCTTTTAGTTTTTGAGATATAAATAATTGAAGTTAATGAGAAATTTTTACCTTTTTTTTGCTTAACTTAATAAATTCTTGAAAAATCGTTTTTTTGGTAAATTGCTACGAAATGCTCACTACTTATTAATGAGACCATCTACTATTCAGGGAATAAGACGGTTTCGTAATATTACTTTTGGTTCTTGAGATATAAATTGTTGAAGTTAATAAGCAATTTTTACCTCATTTTTTGATTAACTTTATAAATTCTTGAAAAAACAATTTTTTGGTAAATTGCTACGAAATGCTTACTACTTAGTAATGAAGTCATTTACTATTCAGGGAATAAAGCCAATTCATAATATCACTTTTGGTTTTTGAGATATAAATTATTGAAGTTAATGAGCAATTTTTACCTATTTTTTGCTTAACTTAATAAATTCTTGAAAAATTGATTTATTGCTAAATTGCTACGAAATGCTCACTACTTATTAATGAAACCATCTACTATTCAGGGAATAAGACCGTTTCGTAATATCACTTTTGGTTCTTGAGATATAAATTGTTGAAGTTAATAAGCAATTTTTACCTCATTTTTTGATTAACTTTATAAATTCTTGAAAAATCGATTTTTTGGTAAATTGCTATGAAATGCTGACTACTTATTAATGAAACCATCTACTATTCAAGAAATAAAACCGTTTTGAAATATCACTTTTGGTTTTTGAGATATAAATTATTGAAGTTATTGAGAAATGTTTACCTTTTTTTTTACTTAACTTAATAAATTCTTGTAAAATCGATTTTTTGTTAAATTGCTACGAAATGCTCACTACTTATTATTGAAACCATCTACTGTTCAGGGAATAAGACCGTTTCGTAATATCACTTTTGGTTCTTGAGATATAAATTGTTGAAGTTGATAAGCTATTTTTACCTCTTTTTTTGATTAACTTTATAAATTCTTGAAAAATCGATTTTTTGGTAAATTGCTACGAAATGCTCACTACTTACTAATGAAACCATCTACTATTCAAGGAATAAAGCCGTTTTGAAATATCACTTTTGGTTTTTGAGATATAAATTATTAAAGTTAATGAGCAATTTTTACCTATTTTTTGCTTAACTTAATAAATTCTTGAAAAATCGATTTTTTGCTAAAGTGCTACAAACTGCTCACTACTTATTAATGAAACCATCTACTATTCAGGGAATAAAGCCGTTTTGAAATATCACTTTTGGTTCTTGAGATATAAATTACTGAAGTTAATAAGCAATTTTTACCTTATTTTTTTGACTAACTTTATAAATTCTTGAAAAATCAATTTTTTGGTAAATTGCTACGAAATGCTTACTACTTAGTAATGAAGTCATTTACTATTCAGGGAATAAAGCCGTTTCATAATATCACTTTTGGTTTTTGAGATATAAATTATTGAAGTTAATGAGAAATTTTTACCTTTTCTTTGCTTAACTTCATAAATTCTTGAAAAATCGATTTTTTGCTAAATTGCTACGAAATGCTCACTACTTATTAATGAAACCATCTACTATTCAGGGAATAAAGCCGTTTCATAACATCGCTTTTAGTTTTTGAGATATAAATAATTGAAGTTAATGAGAAATTTTTACCATTTTTTTGCTTAACTTAATAAATTCTTGAAAAATCGTTTTTTTGGTAAATTGCTACGAAATGCTCACTACTTATTAATGAAACCATCTACTATTCAGGGAATAAAGCCGTTTCATAATATCGCTTTTAGTTTTTGAGATATAAATAATTGAAGTTAATGAGAAATTTTTACCATTTTTTTGCTTAACTTAATAAATTCTTGAAAAATCGTTTTTTTGGTAAATTGCTACGAAATGCTCACTACTTATTAATGAGACCATCTACTATTCAGGGAATAAGACGGTTTCGTAATATTACTTTTGGTTCTTGAGATATAAATTGTTGAAGTTAATAAGCAATTTTTACCTCTTTTTTTGATTAACTTTATACAATCTTGAAAAATCGATTTTTTGGTAAATTGCTACGAAATGCTCACTACTTATTAATGAAACCATCTACTATTCAGGGAATAAGACGGTTTCGTAATATTACTTTTGGTTCTTGAGATATAAATTGTTGAAGTTAATAAGCAATTTTTACCTCTTTTTTTGATTAACTTTATACAATCTTGAAAAATCGATTTTTTGGTAAATTGCTACGAAATGCTCACTACTTATTAATGAAACCATCTACTATTCAGGGAATAAGACGGTTTCGTAATATTACTTTTGGTTCTTGAGATATAAATTGTTGAAGTTAATAAGCAATTTTTACCTCTTTTTTTGATTAACTTTATACAATCTTGAAAAATCGATTTTTTGGTAAATTGCTACGAAATGCTCACTACTTATTAATGAGACCATCTACTATTCAGGGAATAAGACGGTTTCGTAATATTACTTTTGGTTCTTGAGATATAAATTGTTGAAGTTAATAAGCAATTTTTACCTCTTTTTTTGATTAACTTTATACAATCTTGAAAAATCGATTTTTTGGTAAATTGCTACGAAATGCTCACTACTTATTAATGAAACCATCTACTATTCAAGGAATAAAGCCGTTTTGAAATATCACTTTTGGTTTTTGAGATATAAATAATTGAAGTTAATGAGTAATTTTTACCTTTTTTAGCTTAACTTAATAAATTCTTGAAAAATCGATTTTTTGGTAAATTGCTACGAACTACTCACTACTTATTAATGAGACCATCTACTATTCAGGGAATAAGACCGTTTCATAATATCACTTTTGGTTCTTGAGATATAAATTGTTGAAGTTAGTAAGCAATTGTTACCTTTTTTTTGATTAACTTTATATATTATTGTAAAATCGATTCTTTGCTAAATTGCTACGAAATGCTTACTACTTATTAATGAAACCGTCTACTATTCAGTGAATAAAGCCATTTTGAAATATCACTTTTGGTTCTTGAGATATAAATTGTTGAAGTTAATAAGCAATTTTTACCTTTTTTTTGCTTAATAAATTTTTGTAAAATCGATTTTTTGCTAAATTGCTATGAAATGCTTACTACTTATTAATGAAACCATCTACTATTCAGGGAATAAGACGGTTTCGTAATATCACTTTTGGTTCTTGAGATATAAATTGTAGAAACAATTTGTACCATCTCATTGCAAGAAACTGCACCATTGGAGAAACATTAAAACTGGTCATAAATTGCCAAAAGAAAGTGAAAAATGCCCTTCCCAACTAAAGGGCAATAACGAAAGATCACGAAATGGAAGTAATACGTATAACAAATAAGATAATTCTTAAAAATTGAGTTGGCAAAGTGTTAGAACCGAGCAATTAATGAAATGCGTTGAAGAAAGCCATATGCTTCGAAAGGATTATTTTTGTTTATATGATAAATGAAATATGGGCCTCACATCTCTGTGCTATATGTTTTCTCTATATTATAAATATATCATTGGAACGATTCTCTTTAATCAATGTAATATGACGCAGTCGTTGGTGCAGATTGACGAAGATGAATTATGATAAGCTGAGATAAGTTATGAAAAGGAACCAAACGATGAGTTAGAAATGACTAAAGACGTACGTATAATGGATAAAGGTGCGTACAGCAGTATATGAAGGAGTGACTCGTTGAAGTTTGTAGATAAATATCGATTTCATAAGATAACGTATGTATGGTGACGTAAAGGTGGATTGGTGTGGAAAAGACTAGAATGATGGATGAAGGATATTATGGGAAAAATTTAATGCAGCATGGACGAGATGTAAGATGGTAAACATGACGATAAGTTAATAAACAAGTTGAGGTCATAACATAGACGACGACGACATTGACTGTTGAAGACAAAATAAATTATAAAATAATTCAAATACATAAAATATCATTCACAGAACAATAAACATTTTTTAAAGCCACGCGATAAGAACAACATAGTCCCTCATTATTCATAGTGAATACAAGTAACGAGTTAATAATAAACGTAAGTCTACGACACCACCACCACAAAAGCAACAAACCAAATCCTGCTTACCTTGCAAGGACGCTCGGTTAAAATGCCAACAGGAGAAGAAACGTTGTTATCTTCTTCGCTTCCTAACAACCCAACATTTCTTTCGTCTTATATTTTCATTATTTTTCAATTAAACATTGTCAATTCCGGTTTACACTTCAGTTCACTATAGACATTTCTCTTTTTTTTCTAATCTTGTTCTCAATATCGCTTCTTTTAACACAGTTTTCTAAAGAAGAAAAAAGAACACGCGACGAAGTAACACGAGATTATTCAAAAACAAATTTTATTTTATTTTATTTATAGTGTGGCATTTTAAATAAAAATTTTAAAAAAATAATTAAAATTATTTAAAACTTTAAATAGTAATTTGTTTATACTTTTAACGTGTGAATGTAAACCGTACACCGGTGGCACACTGACAGGATGATTTTCTAAAAGCTGGTTGCAAACCAACAGTGCAGAAACGAAATGAAGCAGGAGAAGAGTTGAGTGTGCCAAGTGCAAGAGCGCACACGAAGAGGAGAGGTTTACTTCTACCATACGAAGAGAACACCCCACCTAAGCTTTCTTCTTCTTCTTCCGTTGAATTCAAGTACAACTACAACTACCAGACATAACTCTACACGAACTTATAGTTCGATAATTCGGAAATGAATCGGCAAAAATTTTAAAAAAAAATATATGTAAATAAAATATATAAAAAAATTTTTATTATTCCATCATTAATCTTTAATCTTTCAAGTTGCCGATTGATTTTATTTTTATTTTTAAGCCATCTTCAAGAACATCATTCGTATCAAAAACCCGTTAGATCAATTAAGTTCATCGTATCGAATTTGATTTTGACGTACTGCTACTTGCCGGTGATGCGCGAAGTGTTTGGATATGATGGTCTATCACTTCAGTAGGTTTATGTGCAATTAGTTTTTGTTAATTGTTTGATTGCTATCGCAATAATTAAATGGGAAAATTTACATATCTCATTATTTTACGTAATGATGTAACTTGTTTCTCCGATTCTATTCAAAATAGAAAATTAAAAAAAAAATAGTTGTTTTAAAAACGACAGATGAGATTAATATGAAAATATTAATAAAATTAACTTGATTTTAATACACCATTCGAGTTGATTAATCATGATCTATCAAATCTATCAAATCAGCTGAAGACAAGTCATTGCAAAGATGAATATTTTGGACATATCTCCTTAGACGTCAGATACAGTACTTAGACTAATTAGACTGTGTGGATCTTAACCTGTTTTAAAAGACTCCGCTGATTCTCTCTATATGACCCATCCAATACAAAATGAACATGAACCTAAAGTTGCATTTTCGATATAGGTCATGTTCCATCAAGCACCCAAATATGTGAACTTTTCAGAACTTTTCGTGTTCTGAAGTTACTCCGATTGAAGTTCATGATCTGCTTTGCAGTTTAAAATCTAGTAACTCTAAAGACATTTATGCCATTTCTGCAAACTTTGTGAGAAGTAACACCGGTCTATATGTGGCGCCCTTTACACGATTGGTGAACCTTTCCTTTTCATCTGACTTATTTCCTGACTTATTAAAAATAGCTAATGTAATTCCAATATATAAAGGCGCAGATAAGAACAACAATGCTAATTTTCGTCCTATAAGTATTCTGCCCACCTTTTCCAAAATATTTCAAAGGGCCCTTTTCAATAGAATCATCGCATACTTGGACCAAAATAATTTATTGCACCCTCATCAGATTGGCTTTCGAAGGGGTAGGTGCACCGATGACGCGGTAGTTAAATATGTGAATATCTGTCTTGACAGGTTTGAAAAGCGTGAATACTGTATGTCATTGTTATTGGACTTGTCTCGCGCATTCGATACAGTTTCTCATCCAATTCTTATTGATAAACTTCGCAATGTTTATAATTTTGACGATAAAAGTGTTGCTCTAATCCAATCTTATTTGTCCGACAGAACGCAACTTTGACTAGGGGTGTTCCACAGGGTTTTATTCTTGGTCCTCTTTTATTTTTGATGTTTTTTAATGACTTTATGTGTTATTTTAGAGACCTTGACTGTTTATTATATGCTGACAATGCCACTTTGATTATCCGAATCAATGAAGCTGAAGAGGTCATTCAAAGATAAGAATTGGTTCTAGATAGAGCACGTGCATCGCGAATGAGTTGTGTTTGAATGATGGAAAAACAGTCAGAATGATATGAAGTCAGGGAAATTTTAATTTTACTAATTTTGGTAAATTTTTGGGAGTTCACATAACCACTCCAATATTGAAGTTCGATCATCATGTTGACGCTAAGAAAATTTCAAAAAACATCTTTTAGCTATGAAAGCTTATTGTCAAGGTGGAACTAGAAGTAGTAAAAACCGCTTACTTCGCGCTTATACAAAACCATATATTTTATGAACTAAAGTTATTTATTGGGATACACGACCAACACGACAAAGGCTAGATAATTGACAAGAGGCTTCCTTTTATCTTTACCGAGCTTTCGGAAATTTTATTTTTCCTTCTTCAGAGGTAACTACAAAATTGAGACAACAAAAGTTACAATAGTTAACAAAAAAGCATATGAACAACTTACAAAAATGGATTGCATAAAGGAACTGAACCAAAGCTAAACATGAGGTCGCAAACTTTGAGCACTAGACATCTCTTATTAAAACTATACTTCCCATAATTCACTAAAGGTGAGTAATTGAAGATCAAACAATACTAAAAATCTTTACAAAGTTAATTATGAAACTATTAAAATAAGTATTACTTACAATAAGAACACGTTAAAATTTTACGTTAAAAGTTAAGACGCAATAAGTCACGTAAGTTTTTTATACCACAAAAACTGGAAAGAAACAAGGCTGACCAACCGTCGTCACGGCAAAACACCAAATACACTAAAAATAACCACTAGGTGGCGTTGAGAGGGGGAATAAAATTGAAAATATGAAAAAGGAAACAAAAACCGAAAAAGAACTAGAAAACCAGAGAATCACTCTCCATCGATGTTTGATCCCTTCTACCCCAGTCCTTCATAACAAGGTAACTGTAAATAGAACTAAGGTTCTGGGTGTCAGTTCTGAAGTTTAAGGAATTAACCTCTTTATTGATGTAAAACATCTCTAAGAACAATCTCTTTGAATAAATTGATTCCTTATCAACAATCTGAGAATTCTCAAAATTAAAATGGTGACCACTGAGAACATGGTGATGAACCAACGCACTCTTGTTTTCATCTCTAGATTGACAATCACGTTTATGTTGTTTGATCCTAGCATCAAAATACTGACTGGTAGTGCCTATGTAGGTTTTTTCGCAATTATTGCACGGAATCTTTAAATAA